TTCGCATCCGAGTGATATCCCCGAGCTAACATCCTTATCCGAGTGGTGTAATTTGGCGCCAAAAAGATCGCTCGTATAAGGTGCAGATGAACGCGTATCCTCTCCGCCAGCATACAGTTTGCGAATGCATTTGAAACAGATAGATGGACTTTTCGAAGCAACTTGAAGTGGCTGGCCAGTTTGGCGGGCACAACGTCGAAGTGTAGGGATCGAGCCTGTCGTGGAGACCATCTCACCTACAAAAGCGTATGTAGTCCGTCTCGGGCGATCGCCTGGCCGGCAACATCATTCTTGCACCTACGCCATTTCGGTGGCCTCGCTGCATTGGCGTGACGCTTTCGTGAGAGCGCTCGGCGCCTGACGACAGAGACGGAGCCAAGCAAGGGAATGTACAACAATTGTACACGTAAAATTCCCTGGCCGCAATGTCTTGTTATAAAATTTGTGCTGAGGTCATTTCAAAACCGTCTATACATGGTATAGTCGCAAATCCATTGCCTGTATCCAATAATGGATAGCTCGCTGCAGCACCTATAGACGGATGAATTGACGCAGTGCCGAGTCCTCGTGCTGCCCACTCTCCAGGCGCGCGTCTCTGCGACGCTGGGCGTGCTTCGCTTGTGGAAGGAGCCGCCGCTTCGCAGCTACACGACGTGTCACCAAGGGTAGAAGCACTTGCGCATTCGCATCGAGAGAGCACGCTGCAGCTCGTCGTCGAGGCTACCAACGTTGTCAGACACTTCAAGTTGCGTTGGGCCAGCTTCGTATCCGGATGCCATGCGTCATCCGGATAGCGTCCGCATAAAGAGTGGCGAGAAATCGATCGGCGCCAGGACAGGCAGCGGACAAGCATGGGGATCCTCGACAAGATCAAGGAGATTGGTGCGCCTTGGCTGGTAGACGACGCGGATATGGCTCATGCTGCATGCGCTTCTAGAGGATGAGATGAAGCGGACGCAGAAGAACAAGGCCACGGAAGGCCACCTTGGCCATCTCAAGGCCAAGCTCGCCAAGCTGCGCACGGAGCTGCTCGAAGGCGACAAGTCGAGCGGCGGCGGCGGCGAAGGTGCGCGCCCACGAGGCTCTTCCATGCCAACGATCGATCGCATAGGTTTTGACGTGGCGAGGAGTGGTGACGGCCGTGTCGCGCTCATCGGGTTCCCGTCCGTCGGCAAGTCGACGCTCTTGAGTCAGCTCACAGACACCGAGTCCGAGACGAACGCCGTCGAGTTCACGACGCTAACGTGTATTCCTGGCAACCTCATGTACAACGACGTGCGCATCCAGGTACTCAATCCTCTGCGCACCACCGTTCGCCTCTCATCACCAACGTAGCTCCTCGATTTGCCCGGTATCATTGAAGGCGCTGCGCATGGCAAGGGTCGTGGTCGCGAAGTCATTGCTGTCTCCAAGTCGGCCGACATGATCCTCATGGTGCTCGACGCTGGGCGCGAGGAGGGCAACCGCCACCGCGCGATCCTCGAGAACGAACTCGAGACCGTCGGCCTGCGCTTGAACCGGAACCCGCCGGATATTTATTTCCGCAAGAAGGCCGGCGGTGGCATTTCCTTCAACGCGACTGTGCGCCTCACGCGCATGGGGGATGACCCGTACAAGACCGTCTACAAGATCTTGCACGAGTACCGGATCCACAACTGCGAGCTCCTCTTCCGCGAAGACGCGAGCGTCGACGATTTGATCGATGTCATCGAAGGCAACCGCAAGTACATCAAGTGCCTCTACGTCTACAACAAGATCGACGTCATCTCGATCGAAGACGTCGACCGCCTCGCGCGCAACCCGCACTCGGTCGTCATTGCCTGTGAGCACAACGGTCGGCCCGCGGTAGCTTGTCCATTCTATCAACGTATCAACCATCCACGGTCTCGTTTTTGCGATAGCTCAACTTTGACCACTTGCTCGCGACCATGTGGAAGTACATGGGGCTCACGCGCGTCTACACCAAGCGCCGTGGCGAGGTAGATGCGCGCTTCTTTCCCTAGTAGCTCACGGTGCGATAGCAACCCGAATTTGACGAACCCGTCGTCCTCTCGTCCGAACGCAAGGGCACGACGGTCAACGCCGCGTGCATGTCGGTACGCCGGTCATGTGTCTTTGTATCAATGTATCAACGCGACGCTAGATTTCCAAAGACATGCTCGACAACTTCAACTACGCGCTCGTGTGGGGCGTGAGCACCAAGTACAACCCGCAGCGCGTCGGGAAAGAGCATGTGCTCCTCGACGAAGATGTCCTGCAAGTCATCACCAAGACGGTCAACCAGCAAAAGCACGATAAGAACTACAACAAGAAGGTCCAGGCCCACTGGGACAAGTACAAGGCCAAGAAGAAGGCGCTCAAGACCTAAACCACCATCCAAGGCCGAGCGAGAAAACAACGACCGTCTCCAAATATCGAGTTTTGCGACACGCTACTTTTTAGAGTTTGAGCCACCCGGGGCGGCCCTTGGTTCTCGCACCCGACGTCGACGTCGACGTCGTCGTCGTCGTCTTGGCGTCGGCCGTTGTCGATGAATTGGACGACGGCACGAGCGGCTGGCTCGACGGGTACAGGAGACGCGGCCGGTCATCGTCGTCCTTGGACTCGGCGCCAACGTCATCGAGCTACAACGCGTCAGAGGATGAGCATCAAGTCGAGACCGCGCGAGGACGAGATGTGCGTACAATGTCTTGGTTGAGGTACGCGCCGAGCTCGGTCGTTGGCGTCGGCGATGACGTCGTCCATCCGAGAAAAAGGTTGGACGCTGGCACCAGATTCAAGTCGAGGAGCGACTTGGTCCCATCAAGCTTGGTCATGGGCGGTGTCGTGTAGAGATAGAACCCACGTGGCGTCGCGAGGCAGCGTGCCACGTGGTCGGCGACCGCTTGCAGCGGTTCGTTTGGGTGAAACACCGCTTGCAGGACGACTATATGCAGCACCCTTCTTTGTCCATGTCCATATCATGTCGATGGGAGCGTACCCTTGTCCGGGAACCGGACGCGAAGCACGGCTTCCTGGTACACGCTGCGGCGCTGGAGGTCGTCGAGCTCCCGCATCGCGAGCGTCCGAAACGACTGGCTCTTCTCGGCCGCGTCCTGGCGCGCTTTGAGCGCCTGTGCGAGCAGCTGCGCGTCGCTCTTGCCACCGGTCGTGGGCGCTGTTAGCGTCGCCTGGACATATAAAATCCAATGATGGACAACTTGTTATCATCGTACGTGTTGGAGTTCGTGTGGAAACAAGATGCGTGTCTGACGCGCCGGCGTCGACGACGCGAGGAGTGCGTCTTGCTTCTTCTTGAGGTCGTCGAGACGCATCTCGGTGATGCTCGCGCCGCGTGGCTGCGCCTATATAATCGTTCGACTATCGCATCGGGCGCTTGATTGCTTGGAAGAAGGATCTACCTGCATGCGCGTGATGAGCGGCTGGTACGCATCAAAGGCCGGCGCTGGCAGCGACGACGGCACTTGCACTTGGGGCCGTGCGCTCAAGTCGATGCGCAGGTCGTCGGCTTCGTCATGGAGCACACGCAACGCATTTTGCAGTACGTCACTCGACTCGGACGCAAGGTGCAGCATGTCGCCATCGACGGCAAAGCCACTTGCGAGAAGAAAGTCAACGCCGCCCGCATGCCGACCGACTGCGTCGACGAATTGGGGTTTGGAACTCCGGATCGAACGCACCTTGGGCTCGTCTGCCAATAAGGTCAAGTCCAGGCGAATACATGAGAATGAACAAAAAGTCTACCTGGCTTGGAGAGGATGTTGCAGAGGATCTTCATGAGCGTCAAGACGACCGTACTCGAGACAGCGTCAAAGTTGAAGTTGCGCACGCGCTGGATCGCATCGTACGGTGTCGATGG